AGCCTGCAGGAAGGACAACCTAGTGGACTGGAAGACCGTAAATTGTGATGAACAATGGACAGCCTGACAATGTAATTGCCTTTGAAATGTGTCTTGCGCTCTACTCACTAATGTAAGACATTATGTGACTTATGATTTCTGTAGTTAAAGTAAAAGAGTAATCATTGGTGGGTCAGAAACTTTCATTTTTTGCATTTAGGTGGGGTTTTTTAGTTTAGTTTTAGTGGAAGTTTTACGGCGCTCGCAACTGCATAAGGTCATATGAGCGCAAGATTTTGGTGTTTCTCAAACACTGCCTCCTGGCCATTTATAAGTCCTGAAAATATTATACTTAAGAGTTATACATTTGTTATGATTAATTTGACTCAAATCAAAATGATACGTAATATTTGCTATCTACAGTTTCGTTTTCTTTTGTTAAAAAAAAAGAAAATTTGCACTGATGGTTCTGGCTTTAAGTATTTTTGCTTTAAGATCACATATTCTTGACATAGTGTCGAAGGCTTATTGTTGACCCACTAGAACTTAATTTTTCAAGTCTTCTTTGCTAACAATAGAATTGTTTGCTCCAACCCCATGTTGTTGACCATTTAGAACTTGTTTCTTGAATTAAATTCCAACAGAGATTGTTGACCTTGTAAAACTCATATCTTGACTTAGCTCCAATCCACGTTGTTGACTCTTTAGAACTTGTATCTTGACTTAGTTCCAATCCCACATTATTTGCCCATTAAAAGTTGTATCTTGACTTATCTCCGACCCCACATTGTTGACTCATTAGAACCCATGTATTGACTTAGCCGCAACACCACGTTACTCACCCTTTAGAATCAAGATATAATTGCAATATAATGTCATTAATGTGTCAATAACAAAACTCCCTCACGTCTTAGTGATCTCATCCAGATTTATGTTCCACCTAGATCACTTAGTTTTGGTGATCAGTATCTTTTAAGAGTTCCTAGAAAAGGAGGTAAAAAATTAGCAGAAAGATCATTTGCCCACCATGTTCCATCAGTTTGGAACTCCCTTCCCCGACCCTTGAGACATACATCTGAATCTAAATTTAACGTATCTTTAAAGACAAATAATTTTTATGTCAGTAGATTCATGTTCAATACAATGTTGTTATGTAAATGACTATGTATCCATTTATGTATTTTGCGAATTGCATTGTGTATATTATTTTATGTACATGTATTTGTATGAGCTCATTTCGAAACAATGTGTAAGCGTGCGCGTGTGATAAAGCAAGTGTGTGTGTGTGTGTGTGTGT